ATTAAATTACTAATAACGAATTAACAATTGAAACAATACTTTTTATATTATTTTGTGTTTAATGGAGTAAGTGTTGTTCGAGTTTTATATTTTTTCGTTTGTGATATAGTCGGTAAACTTCTTTTCATGTGCTGTTGTTTTCCAAGTACAAATGCTTTTAAATCGGTAATCATTGGTCCACTTGACTTTGTAAATAATTTCTTATGAGAAGGTGATTGAGAACATTCATTCTCTTTTGTTTTGAATGGTGCAAACCCATCAATTGTAAAAAGAGTATCCATAGTATTTTGAAATGAAGGTAATTGTTGGCTTTGAGGTGGTGGAATAGAAGGATTACTTTCTGTTGCATAAATAGATGATATTGATGGTAGTTGATGAGAATGGTTTAAAGGAATTGGTTGGTTATAGTTTTGAGGATATGAATAATAAGATGACCACTCTGGGAAATAACATGAATACGAAGGTATAACAGATGTTTTCATCCTTAAAGGAGGCATATAAGAAAAGTCTTTCACAAACACTTGCAAAACGCTCAGAGTATTTACATTTTCTGACCATCTATCAAGAATTGGATGACAAATAACAATGTTTGGCATTGCATATGGATGTCCTGGAACAACTTCCATTTCTGGTGTTGGGTCAGTAAAAAAGAGAGGTGGAGAAAGTGGATAATCATACGGATACATAATACATAATGGTAAACAAAATTGACTACCTCGATACACTATTGGTATTGTTCCTACCAATGAAGCAAGGATAATTCCATCAGCAAAGGTATATCATTAAGGGAAGGTAGAATATAGTCTATTGAATTATTATAAATCGAATAAAATTTATTTTATTTATTCTTCTATTATATCAATCAAAAAAAAGATGCATTACAGGAGACACCACAAAAAATATAGAAAAACACATAACCAAAAAAGAAGAAATTCACATCAACAAAGAAATATAAATGATAGAGGAATGAGTGAAAATAGGTATTATCTGTATGGACAGAGATGCATGAATAATCACACTAACCATTACAATAACAATTATTACCATAAATATCACAACAAAATTGATGATAGAAATCGTTTCACTCATCACTTCATTCATAATCATCGTCATAAACACTTTAATAATAACTTCAATAGAAATAAACAATATCAATATAAGAAAAATAAATCCCATAATAACACACAAAGAAGGTATAAACAATATCAAAATAAGAAACAAAACAAAAATCAAAGAAAAGAAATGATTGAAATACAAAACCAAGAATATTGGAAAAGACTCTTTGAAGAAGAAATTAAAATACTTACACCACAAGAAGTAGAAGAAATTAAAAATACCAAGATTAAAGAATATACATCATCAACAATATGGAGAAGATGGTATTTTCTTGCACGAGAAAAAACAAAAACAATCAGAATGGAAGAAGAAACTATTAGTATGACAATGGAAGAAGTCAATAATCAATACAACCCAATTGAGATTAAAGACAATAGAATATACAATAACTATGTAATGAGTATTGAAAGTGAAGACGACGATGATAAAGATTCTACGAGAGTAGAAGCTAGGCTTGCTGAGGAGAAGAGGTTTACTAAAGGAGAGAAGAAGAGGCTGGTAGAAAAGGAAGAAGAAAACAGTAAAAAGGAAAAAAGAATAAAAGAAATAAGGAAAAAGTGGAGGAAGATATGAAAGAGAAAGAAGAAATGAAAAAGGAAATACAAATAACAGAATAAACCATTAAAAAACTAACAAAAGATATTATGGCATTAAAGAAGAAGCATGAGAAGGAGATAAGCACAAAAAACCACGAGTGCGATAAAAAAATATTCAAATTCCATGCTGAATCTGAAAGGAAAAGGTCTGAAGTAAATAACTTAACACAACAATTGCTCTTCCTGAAAGATAAACTATCTAAATTAGAAAATAAAAATACACAAGAAGAAAAAAAGAAAGATGAGGTAACTTACAATATAACAGACTCATCTGAAACACAAATAGTAAATGACCTCACCCCTAATGTGGTAGTAGCTGATGAAATATCATCAAGTGAAGATGATCTTCCAAAAAAAAGAAAGTTAACGCAGAAATCCATTGAAGAAATTGATATTCAGCATAAGAAGATCACCACATCAGAATTAGATAATCAAAAAAAAAAAAACGGGGGAAATAAACAGATAGAGAAGAAGAAATTTTAACACTTTATAAATGTTTTGTTTTGAAATTATTTGAAAGAAAATTAAGAAGTCAACTTAAAGAAGAAATAATAGAAAGATTAATACATGAATTTGGAATTAAAGCAAATGATATTAATGAATATAAAGAAGTAATAAAGAAGACATTTAAAATAAAGAATGAAATTAAAAGAGAAATCAATAGAATAATGGAGGAAGAAATAATAAAACATCAATGGAAAGATAATGAATTAAAAGAAATAATAACTAAAATGAACAAGAGAAAGAAGAAATAGAAGAAGAGGAGGTAATGAAAATATTTAAAGAAGAAGAAAAGAAACAACAAGAAGATGTACAATTTATTAATTATTATTACAATAAGAAGAAAGTACATCAAATAATTAATATTATTAATAAAAATGAAATAATAATAAATACATTAGATGATTATTATCATTATATTAAATCTGTAGCTTCCACTATTAACATCATTAATAAAAATAAACAAGAAAGAAGTGGAAAGAAAAGTATAGAAAGAATATTACAATCAAAAATATGTAGATTGAGAGATTTACTCAATAATAAACAATATATGAAATTAAAAAGAATATGACATATTAAGAAATATGATATATATCATATTAAAATAAAAACAATTGAACAAATAAACTATTATAAATACCTTCGAAAGATGAAAAGAATAGAAATAGAAGCAAGAAAGAATAATTGGAAAAGAATAAGATGGAATTATAAAATGATGAAATATGGAAAAAGGCAACATTTAAATAAATCTAAAGAAGATGAATATTTAGATAATATCTCATCTATTAATTTCTTGAAATGAATCTATGAAACTAAAACTAATATAGATTTCCTGAATATTAATTTATACGAAATATTAAATGAAAATAGAATTAATAATAGAATATCAATAATCACTCCAAATGAACTAGACTGTGATATTAAATTCATTGCTAACTGGAAGGCACCGGGAGTTGACAAAATACAATGATTTTGGATTAAATAATTAGAACAACCAAAGAAGTATTTAATAAAATTATTTAATGAATGGTTAAACAATCATAATGAAATACCTCTTCATTTTATTCAAGGAAGGACAATATTAATATATAAGAAAGGAGATAAATTAGTTAATCAAAAATACAGACAAATAACTTGTTTAAATTGTCTGTTAAAAATATATACATCAATATTAAAGATGAAAATAGAAAGCCAATTGATGCTAAATCCAATTGAAAAACAACTTTCATTAAATCAAATTTGATGTAAGAAATACACATATGCATCAAAAGAAGGATTATTATACAATACTATAATCCAACAATTATTATTAAAGAATAAATGGAAGTTGGTAGAAACATATTATGACGTCTCCAAAGCATATGATAGTATTAATCATCAATGGATTAAACAATGCTTAATATATTTTAATATCCAACTAGTAGTAATTAATAATATATTATATATTAAATAATACATATCTTAATTTGTATTATAATCAAGAAAGTGTGGGTATGATTAATGTAGAAAGAGGAATAATACAAGGTGACAGCCTATCTCCACTTTTATTTGTATTATCTATTGATATATTATCTAAACAATTAGATAAACAAATAAACAAATTGAATATTAAAATGAATGGAGAAGAAAAATAAGTCTAGTTAAACCATATATTATATATTGATGATTTAAAAATAATAACTAATAGCCTCGAAGAAATGGAAAAAGCACACAAATTAACTAAAGAAATATTTAATGCAATATGATTAAAAATTAAAGTAGAAAAGAGTGGGATAATGACTAATATTAATAGTCAAATAAATGGAGAATTAGCTGAGCTACCAAGAGTAACTAATGATAACCCTTATAAATATCTTGGTATTGAAATAGGAGATAAAGTAAATATTAATAAATATTGTACAAGAATATTAAATGATGTATCTTCTATTTTATCATCATTAAACACTATGAAATACAGCAGCCTCAATACAATAAGAAAGATTAATAGTGATATAATCTCAAAATTAAGATATGGATTTAGTATTGTCAAATATAAACTAGGAGAATTGGAGAAGATAGATAAACAAATAAGAAAATCATTAATTCACCTCCAATTATACAGTAGAAATATCCCAAAAAGTAGATTATATGTTAAAATGAATGAATTGGGAATAGGAATAATGTCAGCAAGAGATGAATGTGGTAAAGAATTATTAAGAATATATTTAAAATATAAGTGGAGATCAAGCACAGAAATATGAGAAAAGATAGAAACAATAAAAGAAAATCCAAATTGAATAATCAAAAGAATGAAGAACACATTTTATAAGAAGATTAATTTTAATGAATTAATTGAGATAATAGAATTAAATGAAAGAAATCACAATGTAAAGGAAGTATTTGAATTGGTAATTAATGAATTGATACAAAGAAATAGAATAAACATGATATATAAGTAAAATAATGGTGGCAGAATAAAATTAACACATTTGCATAATAAATGTATTGAAATATAATCAAATTAAACAATAAAAACATAATACAAATATGAAACAAACAACCATTACTAATTTAAAATATTATAGTATTAGAGAAAGTGTTAAGATATGTATAATATATTATGAATATATTAAAAATAAATGTGTCTTAGAATTTGAATGTACTTGATAAATGGAGTAAATTTGAAATAATTATAAAATCAAATTATTAAGTCTAATAAACATTTTATAAATAATTGTTTTTATTTGGAAATGTTGTGATTTAATTCTCTTATTAATATAAAATTTTTTAATTTGAAATTAATTATAAAAATAATTATAAGAAATACTTTTTACTCTGTTGTTCTTAAAAAAGAATAAGTTATTGTTTCTTTGTTTCACAAAGTTAACAAATAGATTTTGGTGAGACATTATTTGCGATATTTAATAAACTAAATAATAATGTAAAAAATAACATAAGAAATTCAAAATTTTTCATTTCTATTCTTAAATAGTAACTCTGAATTTAAAAATTATACCAATATTATTCTTATTAATTGTGACAGGATAATAGAAACTATATACAATATTCCAAATATTAATAAAATACTTTTCTTAAATAAAAATAGGTATGATGTAAATAATACAGTTATTTTAATAGAATGATGCAAAAAATTATCTGATATATAAACACAATCTTAATACATTAAAACATATCAATGGAAGAAAAACATTGTGAATATCGTAGAAAAACAAATATATACAATCTTCATTATAAATACAATTCAAAAGATTTCTTATGTTCTCATTGTTTAAAAAGTCAGAGTAAAATAAACAAACAATCATATAGTAAGAATATTGTTAATGAAGGTGCTGTTATAATAGATAACTATGATGTTGGTCAATCTGTTTCTTGTGTTAAACAAGACTTAGTTGACAAGATCGAGGCTCAATTCCCAAAAGAAAAAACAGAAAAAAGAGTTAAAAATGAATATCCAACACTTGATGATTATGTTCAGACTTACTTATATCTCTCTAGAATGGAAAAGAAAGAAGAACGTAGTGTAGTTGAAGTTGAATTAAGACAAGAAAAACAACGTATTAAATTTATTAAACACCCTGGATTTACAACTGTTGAAATTAACCTTCCTAAAGCTATTGGAGGTCTTCAGTTAGAAGATGAAGTGATTATTAGTTGTGGTGGATTAAAAGGAATGGTTAATGATACAAATTCAACAGAAACTAAGTTATTTCCATCTCTAATTTTCAAGTCATCAAAATGTGTGTTTGGAGGAAATATTACATCAAGTAGAGGTAAAACAGTTGTTGTTAGATTACAAGATTTTCTTTTTGGAATAGAATCTACAGATTATAAGACAGGTAAAATTACCATGAAATATCCAACAAATGAGGAAAAATGGAAATACAATGAAGAAATAGTGAAGAAAACATCGTTATTTAGGATATATTTTCTTACTAATGATAAAGGAAATCCATTCATTAGAACATTAGATGTATTACAATCACGAGAAATTGATGAATATTATTCAAAAATATTGTGTTGTCACAAAAAACAATCAACAAAAACAAAAGAAATAATAACTTATGAAGAAATGTCAGCAGAGAAATACAATATTCCTAATTTATCTAATTTGAACGATTATCAAAGGAAAGCAATTTATAATGCGTTAAACGAAGATATTTCACTTGTAATAGGACCACCTGGAACTGGTAAAACTACAGTTGCTGTATCAATTGCACAATACTTGATTTATAACAAACGTAGATTTTATAATATAAATCGAGGTGAAAAAAAATTATTAGTTTGTGCATCAAGCAATAATGCTGTTGATGTGATTTGCTCAAAACTTATTGAAAAAGGTGTTCCAACAGTTAGAGTAGTTGCAGATGAACAGTTTGAAAATTGTAGTGATAAAATAAGAGAAAATTCATTATTAAAAAAAGCAATAGAATTTACAGAGAGAAGAGGAATTAAAGAAATAACAGTAAAAAAAAAACAAAATAAAAAAACAGATAATGGTTTTGATGGTGGTGTTGAATTTGATGATGAATTAGAAGAATCAATAACAGTCAATATAAGAAAATTACTAAAGAAAAAGTATGGACAATATCCAACAGAAGATGAAAATAGAGAAGTTCAAAAATGTTATGAAACATATCTATCAACACCAATATATCAGATGGTATATGGAACATTTGAAAATTTTGTCAAACAAACTAATTCAGAAATACAAAAAATTATTGATAGAGTTTCTCAAAGAATAACATTAGAAGAAAATGACTATATTAATAAATTCATCTCAACATATTTTGATGACATATTATCTGGAATAGAATGTGTTTGTTCTACACTCAGTCTTTGTACTCGTCCAACATTACTAAAACAAAAATTTTTTGCATCTATTGTTGATGAAGCTGCTCAGTCTCTTGAACCAGAGACATTGGCTGGAATTATTAATGTTAGAAAAACTGTGTTAATTGGAGATATTCAACAATTACAACCAACATGTCTTTCAACTGAAGCTAGAGAAGCAGGATTCCAAAAATCAATGTTTGAACGATTTATGGCAAATACACAAATCAAAAGAACAATGTTAAAAACACAATACAGAATGCATCCAGCAATTTCAGAATTCTCAAATAAAATGTTTTATTCTTCTAAATTAGAGAATGGAGTGAGTAGTAAAGATAGATTTGATGATAGGATTATTAACTTCTTCCCAGATTACACAAATCCTATAATGTTTATTAACTGTGATGGAACAGAGCATTATGGAAGTAGTGGAACAAGTTATAATAATGCAGGAGAAGTTCAAATAATACAAGAGGTTGTTGAGAAATTGTTGAATAACGATATTGAAGAAAATGAAATAGGAATTATTTCACCATATCAAGCTCAACAAGAACTTATTTCTCAATATGTTTCTACAAAGATTAAAGTTGCTAATATTGATGGATTTCAAGGAAATGAAAAAGAATATATTATCTTTTCTTGTGTTAGGTCAAACCAAACTCTTGGTGTTGGATTTGTGAATGATTATAAAAGACTAAATGTTGCATTAAAAAGAGCTAAAAGTGGATTAATTATTATTGGTAATATCCAAACGTTAATAACATCTAAAGTTTGGAATATGCTAATTCATCAATTTTATTTGAGAGATGCTTTATTTGAATTGAAAGAACATGACTTTGTTCAATACAACGTTGAAAACCAAGAAGAATTTAATCGTCCATTAGAAAAATCTCCATTCCAAGTTCAATATGAGGTTGATGACCTTAAAACGAATGCCAACACATTCAAATCAACGAGTAGATGTATTTTAAAGAAACCAAGTTCTGAAGCAACAAGAACCAAAACCACTCAACAAACAATCTTTCATAAAACACAACCACTAAAAATGTTTTCTTTTCAAGAAAATCTAAAAATATCCGAGAAACGTGAGGAAAAAACGTATTACTCAAGAAGAAGATATTTTTCAAGAATCTCTAATTAATTGGAGAGGTATAAGATATAAATTATACTTGTTGAATAATTTAATTTCTTTTCAATATTTTTTTTTTGTTACATAAAACTAAAAAAATTAAAAAACAAGAAAATGGAAGAAGTAAAAGAAGTTGATTATAAAGAACGATTTACTCATCCTGGAGGACTTCCTATTCATGAAAAAAGAGTTTCTAGATGGGACAGAAAAATAAGAGATGTATTGCCAAACATTCCTGTTCATATTCCTCCTTCATTAGATGAAAAGTATTGGGATACATTGGCAATAAGGATTAGATATGAAGAGTTACAATATGCCCTTGGAACACACCGACTTGGACTAAATACTGAACGAGATAGAACACCATCACCTCCAAAACAATATAATGAAAATCAACAAGAGATAACAAGAGAAATGAGAAGGGAAGAAAAATTAAAAAATGAACGTCTTTATGTTGTTGATAGAGCAATTGAAATATATCCATCATTTAGAATTCCAGCTGAACTTGCTAAACCAAGTGGAAAACGAACAAAAAAGATATATTTCCCTAAAGATAGGCCTGACACTAATTTTATTGGTTTGATAATTGGACCACGAGGGGATAATCAGAAAAGACTTGAAAAAGATAGTGGAGCTAAAATTTCTATTAGAGGTAAAGATCCAAAAAAATTAGGGAAATTGTCAGGATATGGAGACAAAGACAATGAAGACTCTCATGTATTTATTACTGCAGATACTCAAGAAGCTTTAGACCTTGCTTGTGAAGAAATTACTAAAATTATTAGTGCACCTTCAGAAGAAATTAATGTACTTAAACATAATCAATTAAGAGAACTTGCTCTTTGGAATGGAACATTCAGAGAAGACAGAGTTTATGAAGTTGAACAATACGAAAGTGGAGTCAAATGTGGATTTTGTGGTGATAGTTCACATGCTACTTGTGATTGTCCATTAAAGAAACAAAAAATGAGTGAACACCAACTAGAATTAGAGAGGGCATTTGATGAGTTTATGGAAAAAATACAACTTCAACTGATAAATTGATTGTTTTATGAAAGAAAAAAAAATAAAATACCTCAACTTTTTATTTGAAAAGAGTTTCAAAGTCTTTATCTTAAAAATTTATAGTATAGTTCTGTTCTATATTAATTATGTCACAACTAAATGAAAGTTATATTTCTGAAGACCTTCTTGAAAGAGATGTTACTAGTCTTTCAACAACTAATGGTCCAACAAATGGAAGTTCTATGAGACAAACAGAACAAATGAATCAAAGCCAATTTCAATTTACGTCAAGGTATGTAAAAACATTATCTTCTACACTCCAATTATTATATAATAAAGAATCAAAAACTCCAGTTATTAATTTATGGATTGACAGTAATGGAATTAAATTGTTTATAGAAGAGAAAGGTGTATTTCAATGTATTGTTTTTTGGCAAAGAGATTTATTTGAGATATATGGATTTGAAGAAAAAGACCAAGAAATTAATTTACGATTACCATTAAAAGATTTATTAGTATTTTTTGAGTCTGCACTTATCCAAACAGAGTCAAGAGTTGACATTTATATTTTAGAAACTAGTTCTGTATTATTGCAACTTAGAACTAGAATTACAACCGTTAGAATGAAAATATCTACTTTTTCACAAGACTCTTATAATAATAGGGTATTTGAATTTAGTACTTACAAAGGAATATTACATATCTCCGCTACTTCAATATCATTAATGCCATCATTTAGGTCATTAGAATGGAATCATATGTATATTACATTTGAAACAGACATTCATGGAAAGTTAATGATATCATCACAATCACCTTCAGATTCTATTACTACAACATACTCATCTCAAACATTTGTTCATTTTGAATGTCTGGCTAATGTCACAGCACGATATCATTTGAATTATTTTAGAGCTATTAAAAAGGCATTAGACCAATCAAAAAAGGTTATAATATTAATGAATTCAAATAAAATGTTATATATTGAATGTACTTATGAATCAGATGACAAGGAAGTTTCTGCTGAAATTGCGTTTTATGTTTGTGCACAAGTTAGTGATGATACAATTCATGAAGAAGAACCTCAACAACAACCAGATTTAGACCAACACATAGAAGAAGAACATGACCATCCTTTAATACTTAAAAATGAAGACGACTTAAATGAAGAACAACCAACAATAATAGAAAGTAATGAATTGTATGATGAGTGAAATAAAGCCAAACATTAAAAATATTAAATTAAACCATTCAACTACAAAATATTTATGGTTCTACTGGATTTAACAAAAAGTTAGAAAGGTCTGAAACTGTATTAAAAACATATTTACAAACCTTTTTAATATCATCTTCTACTAACTCATGTCCTTCTCCATATAAAACTCCAATTGCATCTACTCCTGCAGACTTTGCCATTGTAAATCCTGGTGTAAGGTCATCAATAACTACAATATCAGATGGTTTTAGATGATATTTTTCTTTAATAGTATCAATAGGATAAGTATATGGTTTACACAATTCTGGATGTCCTCTAACACTACCAAATATTTCATCTGGAGTAAAGTTATGTTCTTCATAATGTCTTTTAATATCTTTAGCATGTGAATGAGAACATACACAAACTATACCTCCTTGTTTCTTATATTCAATTAACATCTCAAGAAATCCTGGAAACATCTGAGGATGTCTGGTAGCTGTATATTCAATCCACAATTTATATTCAAGATCTTGTTCTTCTTTATTTAATTTCATAACATCTCTAATGTATTCAAAATAGTCATAATCCCATAACATTCTATACCATTCTTGTAATGACAAAATTTTGTAGTCTCTTCCTTTCATAACACTGTTCTGAATATAGTTATTATCAAAATTTAAAGAATTTAAATAAAAAACAAACAGCAAAATCTAAATATGCTGGATAATGGACTGAAGGAGTGGAATCAACAGTTGTATCATCATGATCTATAACAATACACTTATATCTTATTGGCATAATTTTTAATTGAAAAAAGTTCTTCTTTTCTAAAAAAATAAATGAGGAGGGTTTCATTTTATTTTACAAATAACAAAAATAATTTTTTTGTTATAAAAAGAATTTATAAAAAAAATAATAAAATTTTCTAAAAAAAAAGAAAGAAAAGAAAGAGATGGTTACGACTATGGCACATTTAAATGAATGTATTAATAAAGTCAGTGAATTAGAAGTTATTCATGAAGAAGTTATAAAAGAAATTTGTGAACAATTTAAAGTTATTTGTTTAAGAGAACAAAATGTTGTTCCAATTAATAGTCAAGTAACAATTGTTGGATGTTTAAATGGACAATTACATGATTTATTAAATATTTTTAAAATGTCAGGGAAAATACCATTTACAAATTATTTGTTTTTAGGAGATTATGTTAATTTTGGAATGAATGGATTAGAGGTTTACATCATCTTAATGTGTTATAAAGTTTTATATCCAACTAAAATAATTATGCTCCGTGGTCAAAATGAACTTAAAATGTTTAGTGAAATTGGTGGATTTCAATCTGAATGTTTTAGTAAATATGGTAATGATAATGTTTACCAAATGATTGTGGAAACATTCAAATATTTACCTATTGCTGCTGTTGTTCAAGAAACTTATTTATGTTGTCATGGTGGAATTTTAAATCATGTCTCATTAGATAATCTTAATACTCTTCCTCGTGTAAAGAATCTCACTGCATCTGACGCTTTAACTTGGTTTATTATTGCTCAACCTAAAGAAGAAAAATACACAAAATATTTCAAATGGTATGAACGAAATGATGAATACCAATTTACTGAAGCTGACGTTGCTCAATACCTTGAAAAAGAAAATTCTAATAATCCTTCAAGACATTTTAAGCTTCTTATTAACACAAATTCACTACAACCATTAGGTGAAGTACTTTCTGATAATAAATCCATTCACTCTATTTGGAGTGCAACAAATTTTGTTGGAGAATTTGGTAATTTAGGGTGTTATTTGGAAGTTAGTGGTGCTGGAGTGATTGACTCAGTTCAATATTGTGCACCACCCCTCTCTGCTATGCCAAAGAATTGGAAGCCATTACGACAGCAAATTCCTAAAGCCGTTCCTGATTTTTTTGCTTAAATAACAAAATTCATCGTTTCTTGGTAGTATTGTGTTATTTATTTTTAAGATAAATTTTTAACAAGATATAATCTTATTATTTTCAATGAACAAACTTCAATTTAGTATTCCTCCAATTGACTTTGTTGGACAAAGGATTGTTAACAAAAATATTTCAACTCTCATTCCAATCATCACGGTTTGTTCTTCATTGAATTTTTTTTTGTTACAATGTCATTTTCATTAATTTGTTTATTTTGTTATTAACTGTCTTTAGATTCTTGGATTTATTATTGGCTTTATTACACAAAACGTATTTGTAATGCTTTCAATCTATGGAATCGGATTAGCATTTTGTTTATTAGCATTTGGATTACCAATGCCTTATTTACGAGCAAACTATATTGAATGGCAAAAAGTTGGAACTACAGTATCTCGTTCATCAAAGAAAGCTAAAAATGAATAACTGTTTTCTTTTTTTTATATATAACCAAGTTGTTTGTCTTTTGATATCAATCTTTCTTGAGGATAATCATTTTTGTAGAAAAGACAAAAGTACTATAATAAAAGACAAGGCATAAAGAAAAGAGTTTGGTTCATATAATTTTTTAATTAAATTCTAGATTCGAAAAAAGTCATAGAATTTTAGAAAATGTCTTACATAAACTAATAATTATTATTTATTGAAATGGCAAGTCGACGTTCTGATTGGTTAAATCCTATATATACATCAGACTATACATACCAAGCTACTATCAAACAAGACCCAACTAATTATACTAGATTTCATAGAATTATTTATTATATGATTCGAAAGCGTGGACTTGATGAGATGAGGGAATCTATAAAATATATTTATGAGTTAATTTTAAGTCCACCACTATCAGATAGATTTACTACTTTCATGGAATTAGTTGATTTTAGTCAAGGAGATCCTACAAAAGTTCTTGCTCCTTATGAAGAAAATGAAATTAATAGGTATAAAGAACAAAAAAATAAATTAGAATATGAAAAACAACTACTACTTGATGATCGTAAGCAAAATTTGAAAATTATTCATAATAACAAAGAAGAAATTGATTCTCTAAACAAACTAATCAAACAACAGAATGTAACTATTATTGATTTGAAAAAACAATTAAAAGAGCAAGAAACCAAAACTTCAGAGTTAAAACTTCAAGTTGAAAAAGTAGCAGGTAAATCTGGTATAGAACAAGAGGAACAAATTAAGATGTTATCAAAACAACTAAAAGAGGTTAGAGAAATGAGTTTAGACTATTATAATGATGTCGTTGGATTTAGAAGGTCTTTAAGAAAGAAAGAAGAAGAATTTAATACATTAAAAGAAGAAAAAGAAGTTTTATTGGCACAACTCACTAAATTGAAAGAGGTTAGAGAACAGGAACATAGAGAATTAGAACAATACCAAATAGATAGAGAAAAAGAAATTAAAGAGAAAGAAAGAAAAAGTATTGAAAAAGTGAAAGGAGAAATTGAAAATGAAGCAAAACAAATTAAAATGGAACGAAGTAGAATCAAAAGTGAATGTGGAATAAGACATAATGACAACAAACCAGTCTCAAGGTATTCAGTTCCATCAAATGAAGAAAGTGTATTATCTAAAGTAATTCCATTGGATCAAATGAGAGTTGAAATTTCACAATTCAAAGGGAATATTGATGAAAAAACTAAAAGTAATCAGAAGATTTTTAGTGATTGCATTGATTTAGAAAATGAAATTCGAGAGAAAAATGGAATTAAAAAAGGAAGTGTTACAGCAAAAGAACAAATTTTAGAAAAGCACTATTCAGAAATGGAAAATCAAATTAAGGATTATGCGGCACAAGGTCTTTTGGAAGGTATAAAGAAAGAAGAAGAAATTATGAGTAAAAACATTCATGACTTAACAGGAGAGGAGGTTGATCAATGTTTAGTATATTGTGTTCAACAATTTTTAAAAGTTTCATCACAAGAAGTAAGATTGTTAGATCATCTTAATTTACTTAAAAAGGTTATGGATGGAATATCTCAAAGTACTATTTATGAAGAGTCTATTCGTTTAACTGAAAGTATATTTGATTTAGAACAAACGTTACTTAAAGTAAAAGAACAACAACCTGAACCAATTCCTGTTTTAGAGTGGGGGAATTAATTAATGATAATTGATTTTTTACAAACATTTTAATTGATTATTTTGTAAACTCAAATAACTAAGGAAATAAAACTTCTAATAAACAAATCAAACAAAAGTACAAGTTAGTTATTAATATTTTAGGTTCAAGAAAAAGAATGACATATAAAGTCTATAATATCTGGTTTAATGAATGAATAATATTCATTTGGGTATTTTAATTTATTATAACGGAAAGGTTGTGGCAAAGCCGACCATGTGAGAAAATTTTGTGATGAGTCATAGTCAATATCAATACATTTTGTACTCTCATCAAACTCTTTCAGTAGTCCATTAAAGTGGTTTAAAAATATATTAGTAACGTCTGGCTCATTTGGTTCAATTCTAATGAATTGTTCAGAAGAGATAGCTCTTCTCTTTAATCCACCCATCATTTTGACTAAGTGATTGTTAATGTATTTTCCTATATTTACAATATCTTTCTGATTAATTTTTCTTTGTTTATTGAACAATACTAAGTCAATGTCTTTAACCTTTTTCATAACCATTGTATACTGAGCACTTCTAGTCCCTTTTATTTCAAATTTTACTCCTTCTTGTTCAAGATAATCCATTAATGAATTACAAATTGAAGCATCCATATTTCTTTTACGTTGTCTTCTTTTCTTTTTATCTTCAACAGTAGATGATTTTAACATTTCTTCACTTAACCGAGTAGCACTATTCATAATTTCCATATCTTGATTTCCATCAGGAGTACATCTATGAACAAATTTGATAGTTAATAAAGGAAATGTCTTTTTTGATATTTTATATACTCTCTCTATCCCAATTTCATATCCAAACATGTTTAACAACCCAATAAAAACTGCTTGTTGACAAGCTTCATTTGTTTTTGAAACTTGTTTTAATCGTTCCCAATCGGGTTTCTTTTTGTCTTTTGTTTTGAGAGAATTTAGATGATTTAATTGGAGTTGAGAACATTGAAAACGTATTTCTTTCTTTTCTGGTTGTAAAAATTCATTTATTGTTTTTAATGAATCTGATTGAGTATTTATACTTTTTGTTTCCTTATTAACAATAAAAGATTTACTTAATTGTGACGTAGAAATATTTTCATTTTGTTGTACTTCTAGTGGTGGAATATTTAATTTAGGAATAGGCCTTGCAGTTTGAATTATGAAAGAAGGTATTTGAGAATATTGTTTAGTACTTTGTTTTGAGACATCAATAGTTTTTGATACTTCTTTTTCATTAAAATTACTAACACTATCACTTTTGAGTAAATCAAAAGACGAAATACCATTTTGTTGATTTGTAACGTTAATAATTGTTGGTGAAATATTGTCAACTTTCGGAAGTGGCACTTTTGTTAATGAACTTATTCCATCAAAAGTTTTAGTCATTCCAAACACACTTCAGTGAATAAATTATTAAAATATCCATTTTATTCTTATTATCAGACCTAACCCTATTTCAAGTTCTTTGATTTTTTCCTTTTTCTAGTTTTGTGTTATTTGTTTTTTTGTTATATTTTGTGAATTATTTTTTTGTAATTGTGAATTATTTTTATACTATAATTAATAATTAGTTATTATTTAACAAATAAAAGCTCAGTTTAGAACTTAAAAAATTCAACAAGATAATGTTTGGAGCATTTGGTCAACAACAAAATAATGGTATGGGTGGATTTGGTCAACAACCAAATAATAGTATGGGTGGATTTGGAACATTTGGTCAACAACAAAACAGTGGGTTAGGTGGATTTGGTCAACAACCAAATAATAGTATGGGTGGATTTGGTCAACCACAAAATAATCTTATGGGTGGATTTGGTCAATCACAAAATAATGGTATGGGTGGATTTGGTCAACAACCAAATAACGGTATGGGTGGATTTGGAACATTTGGTCAACAACCAAATAATAGTATGGGTGGATTTGGAACATTTGGTCAACAACAAAACACTGGTATGGGTGGATTTGGTCAACAACAAAATAATGGTATGGGTGGATTTGGTCAACAACAAAATAATGGTATGGGTGGATTTGGTCAACCACAAACTGGAAGTTCTTTTGTTAAATATCAAGAAACAATCAAAGAAGGATCAAATTATAAATCAATCAATTTTATGTCACAATTCAAAAATAAGTCGTTAATTGAAATTCGAACAGAAGATTATAAAGCAAATAATGGAAATAAACCTGTTCCACAACAAGGAGGAATGTTAGGTGGACAACAAAATGGATTTGGTCAACAACAAGGGGTATTTGGTACTCAACAAAATGGCTTCGGACAACAACAAGGATTATTTGGAGGTCAACAAAATGGATTTGGACAACAACAAGGATTATTTGGAGGTCAACAAGGAGGAATGTTAGGTGGACAGCAAAATGGATTTGGACAACAACAAGGAGGATTTGGAACAAATGGATTTGGACAACAAACACAGGGAGGATTTGGAACAACTGGATTCGGTCAAACAACTGGATTTGGGCGTTAAGAAAATTTTAGCTCAACAATGGTAATTATTATCTTTTTTAATTAGTTAATTATTTTTTATTTTGTTTTTTATTTATAACAAAAAGAGTATTAATAAAATATTTGAAGCATATTACTACTACTTTTTAAACAAGTAGACATTTATATATCCCTCAATTATTGTTGCAAGCTTTCCCTTGGAATAAAGCCAATCACCGAAATTATTCCTACACAAAGCGCTGTTACTTTATTTTCTTGATTATTATTTTAAAAAATCTTTTATTTACATAAATATTATTATGGTTTCTTTATTTTTAATAACTTATAATTTATTATTTAAGTAAATTTATTAAATTGGTTTATGTTTTTTTTCCTTTTTTCTGATTTATACAAAAATCTCTGTTTTATTCTTAGATAATTTGTTTTTACCACATGATAATGTTTATACAACCACAGTATGTTTGATATTGGAAGAAATTTTTTACATATTAATTAAGTTAAATATAATAAAATATAAGTTGGATATGTTTGTAGTTTGACTTTTTATAATGAGAAATTGTTGTTCAAATGACATATCACATTCTGTTTCTTCAATAAAGTTTATTTCAAAATAAAAATTCACAATAGAATATCTGTTTTTATGGTTATTGTATACAATATTAGTGTTGCATATTTTTATTAATTATAGTTGTAGTGACTTATTAAAATATAATGCAATTTCATTCTATTCTTCTTCTTATTTATTTGTTTTAGTTCTACTCGACCTATATTTATTAAATATGCTATTTCTTATTTACCACCACTTTTTTTCTTTCTATTTATTTAAAATATTATTTACGTTATTTACTACATACCCAAATATTCCCTTTGTTCTCTTAATGGTTCTATTTTGTGTATCATTCACTGCTTCTGTAGTTTCATTTCTTTTGTTTATTAATTGGTTTATTCTTCTTTGTTTGTTTTTCAAGTGGTTATACTCTTTATTTTTTATTGTGACATTTATTTCTATTAAAATTGTTTACTATTTATGACGATGATATTTGTTGAAGTGATAATTGAAATAGTTAAACATTGGTATTGTAGTTATTGTGATGTAGCTTTGATAATAATTATGTTTATATTCATTAAAATACTACTTATTTTCAGTTATTTAATATTACTTAATTTTCTGAGTGATATTGATTTATATTTTTTCTTTTTTGTTATAATTTCTTCAAATTTATTACTCGTGAAATAAATTCAATAGATTCTGTTTAAATTGAATCTAACCTGTTTAAATATGAAAAAAAATGGTAGTTTTTTTAAAGTAACAAAGTCAAATTTTAATGTATACAATGAAACAATGATTCAGTAGAATTTTTTTTTAATTCAACAAAGTGAGACACTTATTCTTAACAATTATAAAAACAAAGAAGTAAAATAGAACTTTATTTTCATAAACTACAAAATAAATAAAACAATTAATTTCAATGAATATTTTTGTGTGGGGTGTTTTTATTATGACACCAATTGCCGTTTGGATAGGTGTATATTTTAGAAAATGGAAATATCGAAGTCATTTTACAATATTAGAAGTAGTATTCTTATTAGGATGTATTATTTTTTCTTTACATGAAGACGCTGAACCTCATTATTTACTTGGAATGACTTTGCTTCAGGAAATTATTTTATTTGAAGTTTCTATATCATATGTAATGGAAATTACTGATTTTGTTATTACTTTAAAAGAAAACAATCAAACAGATGAACTTAGAACAATTCTAATGCATACAATACCTGGTTATATTGGAATTCTTTATATGTTTTATGTAAAACAGTGTGGTGGCTTAATTGTTAGATTATTATTAGATTCTGTTTCTTTACTTATTTCAGAACTTAACCAACTTGTACCTGCTAAATATCACCAGTTATTAGATGATATTTATTCTATAATGTTTGTTATAACTCGAGTTATTTATTATTCAATTCTAAGTGTTTATGGAATTTATATTATGTTACTTCATTGGGAATATATAGACAAGATATTGTTTTTGATGTATTGTATATGGACAATTTATGTACTTTATGACCACGTTTATTATTGTTTTTGGAGATATTTTAGGTTTGAAATTGTTAGAATTATTAATTTCTATTTGTTTAATAAAATAGAAAACGTTAAGATAGTTGAAGAACAAACTGAAATGAATAATAAGCAAATAGAAAGTATGACTATTCATAATGACATTAACAACTCTTTTACAGATAACCAACAAAATGAATTTAAAAAAGATTAGATTAAAAGTTAAGACAAGTTACTCCATGTTCTTTTAATTCATTAACGTTAATAATACAATCTTCTTCTGTTTTATATAACAATGTTCTTTATTTATTATAATTTAAAATTACATTCTTTAATGAATTACAATTTTTTATTGTTACACCAATTGGTTGTACTACTGAAGAATTTTTAAGTTCTGTTAATGAAAAACAGTCTTTTATCACAAATTTTTCAATTGATAATGGAAGAGTAAGTGAATTAATAAATTTACAATATTCAACAACTAAGAATTTAATTGAAGAAGATAAAATGATTAATGGACTTGAACATTTTTCTATTTGTACATTTTCTAATGAACAACATTGATGAAGATCAATTATACATTCACAATTATTTAATTTTATTGTGTTTAATAAAGGAAGGTTTAATATTTCAGGTATCCATTTTAATGTAGCATTTCTTAATTGAGTTAAATCAATAAGATTTAATATATTAAAATCAGAATTTAATTCAGTAATAGTCATGGGTAATTCAATAGTAATTCCTTTAGTATAAATTCCATTAAGACTCACTTTTTGAATTCCATCAAATTCTTTTAATGAATAAATTTTATTGACATCTTTACATTCATTAACTGGTATAAGAAATGTTGGTTCTGAATAAATTTCAATTGAATGAGGAAGAAATTGTTTTATTCGTTTAAAACATAGAGTATCTAATTCAGATAAATAACAAATAAATTTATCAGTTTTATAACAGATAAAATTTCTCCAGTCAGAACTAACTAAATAAGCGTTTGTTTGTTGAAGTAGTTTGAGTGAGTCTTTACTCAATGTGGTAAAGTGAAGAATAACTTTGATAGAAGGAGATAAAGATACAACAGTTTGATACAATTGTGAAATTACTTCATCTTCGGTAATGAAAATTACTACTTTCTTCAGACATGAAAATTCTAAGAGTCGAGATATATCACTTGGAAAGACTGTGTTAATAATTTGTAATTGTGAAAAGTGTGAAGGACATTCTGGAATATATGTTGATTGAATCACTTTATTTTCTAATTGAATTGGAATATGTCCGTTTGAATGTCTGATACTAGAAAATCGAGAACATTCAGTTATTAACTGTTCTATTCGATTACCACAATTAAAACAGTGAATACCTTTGAACAAAAGTAATTCTTGTTTCAATGAAGAGGTTTTTGCTGGTAATTTTTTACCATTAAACACAACAGAATAACAAGGATTTTCCTCTAATGATTGTATTGAACTAAGAGCTTTCTTGTTAATTAAAGAAAAGTTTTGGGCATCCTTTAACGAAGATAAGTAAGGAATAATTGAATGATAATGTTGTGATAACAGCATGTAAGTAAAAAAAGAAAAACAAAAGTTCTAGATCTAAAAAAATAGATATGAAAAAAGGAGAACTTGGTTCAATGATTGAAAAACTGCCAATACCTCCAAAAAGTATTGAATGCAATGTAATAAAAGGAAGTAAAAAAGCAACAAAAAAGAAAGATATTCATGAAACAAGAAAAACAAAAAAAGTTACTGACATTGATCATAATATAAATCAGGTTGAAGAATTTTCAATACCAGTACAAGAAAAGAGTAAAAGTCAAAAACAACGTCAAAACGAAATGAAAAAGAAAGAGTCAATTAACCAACAAGGACAATTACCTCTTCAAAAAGAAACACAAAGTATAACAAATAGTAATACTAATAAATGTATAAAATCAAATGGAACAATACATCTTATTATGTTAATGAGTATTTTAGATAGGATAAGTGATGAAGAAATATATGCATTAGGAGAGATTGTTGATGACCAATGGATGAATGAGATTGGAATGATTATAAATGACCCAGAAGTTAGTCCAAAAGTAGTTCAGCGTTCTTTGTTCTTAGCACAAAGTTTTCATGAAAGAGATTTAATGCCAATTAAAGAAATTCAAAAACTAGGACAATTAGTTGGAAAAGGACAATATGAAATTATTCTCAGTGGTTCATTTTTTCTTGATGAAAATATTATTCAACTTATTTTCATGGAAAGAAGGATTAAAGCATTCATATTCTGTGATGAGACTAATCAACAATTCTTATTTATTGCATCGAATGATGGAGTTAAAGGAAGGATTTTAAAAGGAAACGATGTTTTCATGCAAAAAATTAATGGAATTTGGCAAAATTTAGCACTGCCAGAATACATTTGCTCAGTAAGAATCAAAGAAAAAAACATAATATGGTTGTTTGAAACTATACGACTCAGTGTTGATATGAGAATAAGTTGTTTTGAACAAAATAATCAAATACATATAGGAAGATATATCAAGAAATTAATGATTATTACATTTTATTAAATAATTGATTGAATTACTATTTATTCTACAATAGAATGAATGTCTCTTGCACCTTTTCCACTTATTAAATGAATTAACATTTGTATAATAAGATAGAACCAATAAATATGCAGTGCTAGTAAAGAAAATAACATCAACATGAATAACCCATATGTTAAATATTTATATTTAATTGTGTCAGGAACATAGTTTATGGCTATCAAACCTGCTCGAATAATGTACATAGGAAATACATATAGTCTAAATAAAGCATAAACAAACGTTAAGAAAATAAAACAAAGACTTCCAGGGATAATGTTTTCAAGGTCAATTGCCCATTTTGAAAAGTACATAAAAACATCAACAATATCATGAAGAATTAAAACAAGAACTCCAATTCTGGCACAATTATTAGTATAAGAAAATGTCATCAAAAAAACAGAACATAAATGATGTAAGAGTGTTTCAAAGAAATCATTACGAGGAGTAGATAAAAGATGAAATAACAAGGATTGAAGATGGTATCCTAATTCCCAGTTATAAAATATAATAATACTATTAGTTTGTGGTGTTAAGGGAAAATCTTCCCAAAGTAAGGATATGTCTTGTTTTCCATTACCAAACAACACAGCAGGAACCCAATCTTCATTTTTGAATAAACAGATACCAAGAGGAGCAGTGATAAAGAAATAGATATTTTTAAATACACAATGACCAAAACGTTTAACACGTTCTTTTCTAACCTTTTTATTATTCCACTTTTTTCTCTAACAATGTGAATGTTGTAGAATTAAAAGAAAAAAAAATATCAAACATCAATACACCATTCACCAAGTTGATTTAAGACATCTTTTGTTAAAAAATATCTAAATAGAGATAAGAATATTAAAATAAATAATGATGGAAATAAATCTGATGCTTTTGGAAAATTTGATGGAATAATTAAATTTTTAGTTTGGTATCGAGTTAAAGAAGTTGGAAAACAAATAATGGCTAATGGAATAAGAATTATTATTTGTACAATAGAAAGTTTGTCCTTGATATTTTTTGATTTTATTATTTCATTTGGACGTTGGGTCATAAGTTATTAATAAATAATTCTATTTAATTCTATTTTACAACATAGTTTATACAATAAAATGAGATTGAATCATAGCTGAAAAGACAACTCTTAAAATAGTGTCTAATAAAGCTTTAATTATAACCAAAGGAATAAAACAAATAATACGGAAAATGAAAAAAGTGAAATTATAATTATGTTTTTAAACAATTTCGACATTGACCCAATTACTATTTGAAACTTTCAATAATTTCACATAAAGAATACCTTCTTGATAATAGGCTTTAATTCCATCTTTACTTGCATCTACAGGAACAGGAACTTCTCTTCTAAATTGACCATATAATATCTCAGTAAAACAAAAATCACCTTCATCAATTGGCATGTTCTTATTACCTGAAACAATAACCCAATTATTACTATATTGTAAAGATAAAGACTTTTTATCAATACCAGGTACTTCAAATTTGAGTAAATAGTTTGTTCCACAATCTAATAATTCACATGGAGGTTCCCATGTCATAGAATTGAAATGTCCAACTCCACTAGGATCAACAAATACTCGGTTTTGTGACGTCTTTGATAAATATCGAGATAGATGAATCCATTTTGGTTCAGGTTTAGCTAATTGTTGGTTGTTTTGTGAAGGGGGAATTGCTTCAAGTGATTGTACAATAGGTGCTTCAGAACTTGACATTAATAAGTAATTAATAAGATTACTTCTTTCATCGTTTTTATTTAAGATCAAAAAATGTGATGACGTGGAAATACGTTTTTATGGGTGATTTGACGTTTTATCAGAAGGAAATAAAAGAAAAGGAATGAAAAAATGAAAAGTATCTATTAATAGTTTTTTTGGATATAAAACAAAAAATAATAACTAAAGTGATAAAAAAAGAGATATAAGAAAAAAAAAATATAAAAGTGAATAACTAAGAAAAGGAAAGGAATGGCTGTAAACAATTATCCACTTATTCTTAAACTTACATATAATGAGATGAAAGAAATTAATACATTAACATTAAACCAGGAATCATTAGTAAGGAATCATATTGTTAATGCATTACAAATTTATGAACAACGACATAAAACTAATATTACCGAAGAAAATGTTGTAGTTATACTAACAACTTTTTTAGTTATTTTACAAACAAAAGAAATACCAGAGGAAGTACATTTAATTGTATGTATTGCAATGAGAAAAATATTAAAATTTTTAAACAACATTGATAAAGCAAAATACTTTATTTCTTCATTTATTTTTACTCAAATTAAAGAAATTGAACAAAAAGACAAAATTATTATTCAAAAATTACTTTTTATTAGAGATTGTTTGGAATATGAAAATGACATATGTATTCTTAAAAAAGGTATTAAATGGTTTATTCAATTATATGGTAATTTAATTAATAGTAACATAAATATATTTATAAACAATAATATTTCTATAATATTAGAATGTTTAAATAATGTTCTACATTCAAAAATTTCATATTTTATTCAAACAGAAAATGGTTCTGAGTTACATGACTTTTTATTATTTTGTTTAAATTATAATTATTGTGAATATGAAAAGGTTTATATGTTAGTTATTCGTCAGATACATGATATTTATAATGAGTATTATCTTTTAATAAAACAAACAAATGCAATTTTTAAAGTCTTTAAAAAAGATATTATTCCTCATTTACTTACTTTAATTTCTCTTCAAAATATTATTTCTACTGAAGAGTATCATCTTTCTCAAGAAGTATTTTCATTTTTAAATGATATTTTCAATAATTCATTTAAAATGAAAGTAGAAATGGAAAGTTATCTTGTTCAAATGATTTATTTAATGGATTTTATTTATAATGATCGTACAGATTCTAAATATCAAATTCCCAAGGAAAGAGGAGATCAAATATTACAATGTATTTATACTAATCTGAAAAGTGTATTATCAATGAATAATTGTATGGCAAAATTATATATTAATTATGATTGTGATGAATATTGTACTGATCTTTTTCAATTTTTTATAATGACATTATTTAAACAAATTAATGCACAAGGTTATCATTTACTTCTTCCTTTAACTTTACAATGTCTTCAAATGATTGTACCATTTAAACAAAATGGTGGTTTTGATTGGAAAACTTCATTAAATAGAAAAAAAGAATGGAGAGTTATTGGTGCATTATTTAATGATAATTTTGAAATTGGTATTGATGAATATTTGAAATTAAATAACTTTAAAGAGAAAACAACTAATATCATCGCTCAAATGTTTGTAGAAATACCACAAATTAATAAAATTAAAATGGTAGAATATTTTTTACAACCAAATGAATTTAATGAAAAAGTATTTATTGATTATATTAAAAAAATAGGATATGTGACAATGTCATTAAGTCAAGCATTTATTTCTATTATAAAGAATATTTGTTTACCTCAAGATAAATTAAAAACAAAAAAGTTATTTGATCTTTTTGCTAAAGAATATATTAATGAACACCCAAATGAAAAATGTTCTTCTAATGACATTTCAAATGCATTTATTGAAATATTATCAAAACCTTCTTCTTTTGAAGAATATTTAAATATATTAAAAGAAAATTGTTGTAATAAACATGAATTAAACCTTATTTTCTTATTTGTTTCTTCTCATCCTTTAATTGTATTGAATAGATTACCAACTACAACTCCAACATTATTATTAAATGAAGAAATAGAATTAAGAGAGTCATTATGTAGAAAAGAAGTTGAAGTTAATACAGAAGTTTATAGTCAATTTTATAACATTTTTTGTAATTTAATTCTCAGCGTATTAGCCAAATCAGAACGGTTTAATGAACTAGAAAAAAATTTATATGAACAAATAATTCTTCATTCAATACAATTTGATGAATATGTTATTATTAAAAATTCTATCCATCAATTACTTCAATTAAGTGGAATATTAATTGAAGATAAATTCTTTTATGAACCAATAAAATTACATGCTACAATTACTTTAATTCAACAAATAAGTGAAACTCTTCCTTTTCTTATTGAAACTAAAGAAGTTGTGTTATTTATTGCCAAATTAGAAGAATATGACCTTATTATTAAAAATAAATCTAAACCATTTATTTCATTTATTCAAATAAAACAAGAAGAAAGCAGTTGGTTTAGTACCTTTTTATATAATAATTCAAACCATGACAAAATAAAAGAATATATTAAAGATAAAACTAAAGATATTGATTTATTTAAACAATTAAATGATGATAATGTAATTAAATTTATTAAATTTCTTATTAATCTTATTAAAGAAGTAAATGAACACGAACGATTAGAAATTCTTACGGTATTACAACTTATTATATTTTCTAAATCAGAACAATTAATAAATATTATTCCATTATTATTAAATGAAAAAATTTTTGCAATTGAATCATTCTCATTCTTTGAATTATGTTTCAATACTATTGTTTTTTCATTAACAATAAATGTTTCAACAAATATAGAACATTTGATTGATTTTATTTCTTCTCAACCTTATGAACATTTTACTCCTATTAATCATCTCGTACAATTATTTTTTGAGCATATGACTAATAACCCAACTGCTGTTCAACGTATTGTTGAAAAGAAACCAATTTTAATGCCAATTGCTTGTAACGAATTATTAAAAACAGTCAATTCTTTAACAGTTAAAACAGTATGTTCATTTATTCAACATTTACCAAGTGGTAAAGCAAGAGATTCAATTATTAAAACATTAATATTAGCTGTAAAAACAAATGAAACAAATGAAGGATGGGAAGATTGTTTAAATGAATCAATTAAAACAATGATATTAAATCATTCAATAGAAAAAGAATGGTTATCTCTTTGTAAAAAACCAGAAGTTCAAATAAATAAAATCATTGAACAACTATCTAACATTACTATCAATGAAAAAGAAACTAATATTATTGCTCAAATTATACTTGAACTAATTTATTTACAACGAGAAAAGAGTTTTAATGAAAATATTGAAAAAGAAGGTATTCAAATATTACTAAGATGTTATCAACTAAATAAGGATATTGGTCAAATGATTCAAAAACAATTCCAATCTTTACAAACTCAATATCCAAAAGAATTTGGTGAAGGAACATCTTTATATACAAATATTATAAAACTTTTACCAAAAGAATTGTATCAAGACTGTCTCCCACAAGATGATAATAAAGAAATTAGAGAAGAAGTAGCTGTTGATGTGAAAGAAATAAAAAATGAAAACAGTTAATTTCACTGATATTTAAAAAATATTTAATTTCACATGTATAAGTCATCATCATCATAGTCCATATCTTCTGCATAACCATCTGGCATTTTGAAGGGGTCTATTTCTTTTGATACAAAATATTCAATTGGAAGATCCTGTTCTCTTTTTTCAACAATTGTTTCGAAATAATTAATGAAAGAATTATTTTTTGATATTAACTGACCACATTTAGTTGGTTTATTTTTCGTAGATAAAAGATACAAGTTATTCATTAAATAAACATTGAAAATATGACAATCAAAATAACAATGATGTATTTTACTATGAAGATTAATTTAAAATATTTAAATTAATGAATATGAAAATAATGTTAGATAATAACAAACTAATATTCTTCTGACTTTTCATCTTCTTTTATCATTCGTTGAATTAAACCATTTTTTAATAATTCTAAACCAAGACATTCAATTCCATTCTCTTGAAAAATACTGTTTAGTATATCAAGAATTGTTTGACGATAAATTGTTGAAACGTGTTCATAACTATAAAATGTATTCTATTGATTAGATTTTTATATTAACGTTAGTTATAATATAAACACAAACAATACAATAGTCAATCCATTGTTTTTGAATTATAAATTGTAAAATTGATTGATATCGTGAATTAATCATTGATTGAACAATTCCAATTAATTGAATTCTTTCAGTAGTAATATTTCCGTTATTATATTTTAAATGATGTGTTATATAATCAGAATATGTAATAAGTTCGTTTAAACAAATTGGAACAAATTCTGGTTCTATAATAATTTGATCATTAGTACAACCTTTAAGCATTGAAAGAATAATGTCAAGTCCATTTTGAACAAACCCCTTACTTGTCTTAATGATAAATATTTATTTAATTCTTTTTTAATTAAATAAATGAAAAAAAATTAAAACAAACGGAAGTGAAAATTGTTTTATAAAATGGTTTAATAAGTTCATTAGTATTAAATTGAAGATTAATAGAAACACATTTAATAATAGAAATTGTTTGAAAAAGTAATGTAACATTATAAATCATAACTTCATCATAATCATCTCCATAATTTCCTTGTTGTATAAACACATTAAGTAATTTATCAATAAAACATTGTTTTGAAAGCCATTCAATTCCAACAAATTGTTCTTGTTCTTTATACCTTAATAAATCATTTAATAATGAATATACTTCATCAATATCTAAACATTTCATTAATTCATCAATTGGTAATTCTTGTTCTACTATAATTTGAAACATTGTAGAATTACTAGAAACAAGTAATTCATCTATTACTTTAATAATACAACTAAGAGTATTAGTATTTTCTGAATCAATTGTTTCAATTAATACTGTTAAGAAATCATTTTTTTCAAATAAATAATCTTTAATTTTTGGAAGATTATTACATAATACTCTTGTTGCATTATTTTGTAATTGTTCTGTACTTACTTCTATTCCACAAATATAGCTTATTAATTGTGTTATAATTTCTTCTCTACAAAAACTAAAGAAAAAGTTAATTAAATTCTTTTAAATTTAATTTTAGGTATATTTCTCTTTTTTTTTTCTTGTTATACCCCTTTTTTATTCATAATAACAAACTACTCTTGTAAATGTCTATTATAATATAATTCATTAGAAAAATCATTGTTATTTAATATTTTCTTTAAACTATTAACCCCTCCTTTAATAAGTCTATTAACAGATACTCCACTCGATTTCACCCCACTTCGTTCCAAATACGACATTATTGATTTCATCAAGTTCTTCAGTTTTCTTTTTTTTAGAATTTCTTTTTACTTTTCTTTCATTTCTTTTTATTTCTAAGTTCTTAACTTAACATTTTTGTGTCTTTTCCTTTTGTTCTAAAACACAAATTATTTCTATTTTTATTATTTTTATTGGGTTTCAACAAAAAGAGAAAATAGAAAATCTAATCTCCTTTTTCTCTTTTAGGGTTTTCACAAAACCTTAAAATTTTTAATTTTCCAGTAAAATAAGAACTATTTAAATCCTTCAATCTCAAAATATAAATCAAATCTACTCAAATGGCTCGAACAAAAGGAAATAATACTGAAAGACCAACTACTTCTAAACAACCAAGAAAATATTATGCACCTAAATCTGCTTCAAAAAAAGCAGCTGTTTCTTCAAAGAAAGCAGTTGCTGGAGTTTCACAAAAGAAACCAGTAGCAAGACATTCTCATCCAGGAATTAAAGCTTTACAAGAAATTAAATTTTATCAACGTTCAACAGAACTTTTATTGAGAAAATTACCATTCCAACATTTAGTTAGAGAAATTGCTCAACAATCAAAATCAGATTTAAGATTCCAATCTGCTGCTATTGCTGCTCTTCAAGAAGCTGCTGAAGCTTATCTTGTTGGTCTTTTTGAAGATACTAATTTATGTTCACTTCATGCTAAAAGAGTCACTATTATGCCTAAAGATATGCAATTAGCTCGTAGAATTAGGGGTGAACGACAATAAACTTGAAAATTGTTGATAAAAATTGAATTGTTTTTCTTCTTCATTTCTTTTTATTCTTTGATTGGAAAATATCTCTCTATTACTTTTTCTTATGTTTTTATTCTATTCATTTTACATTTTAAATTTAATTGTCTCTTTTTAAACTAAAAATTGATTTTAATGATTTTTAGTTCCTGAATATTCGTTTATTCTTTTTTCGTTTAAAACTAAAAAAAGAAATATTTTTGAATCTCGTCATTTAATAATTTCTATATTTATATAAAAATTATTTGAAAAATTAGTAAACTTTTCTTTATTTTTATAAAATAAAAGACTTATTAATAGAAAACAATTAATGAAAATTTAATTTCAAAAAAAAAAAATTAATTAATTAATTAAAACTTAGTTAATGCCTCAAGATTTAGATTTTGTTAATTCCAAATAAAATATATTCCTTAATATTTTTTTGATAAAAATTTGTTGAGATTTTCAAAAAATTTATGAAAAATCTAATAACACTTAATTAATTACTTTATTATTAACAATTAAAAGAAATTGAATAAAAATAAAATATTTTTGTTTTATATTACAAGAATGATTAAAAAATATAAAATTCTATTAAGAAAGAAATAAAAAATAAGTTCATTTTTTGAACCTTTTCAAGATGGAAATAAGAACTAAAAAATTAAAATAAAATAAACAAAATGTCATTTGATAAAGAACTTGCACTTGCTTTAGAAATTGTACAAGTATCATGTAAAATCACTACTTCAGTAGCAGAACATACATTAACTGATCAAACTCAAATTAAAAATGATAAATCACCAGTAACAGTTGGAGATTATTCAGTTCAAGCTTACGTAAATAAAAAAATTCATGAAACTTTCCCAGAAGATCAAATTGTTGCTGAAGAAGATACTAAAACTATTCCAGAAGATATATTTGCTAAAGTTTGTAAACACGTTCAAATATATTCAGATATGAAAGATGATGAGATTAGAAAATCTATTGATCTTGGAAATAGTACTGGTGGAAAAGGAAGACATTGGGTCTTAGATCCAATTGATGGAACACTTGGATTTTTAAGAAGAGAACAATACGCTGTTTGTTTAGCATTTATGATTGATGGTGATATTAAAGTAGGAGTTCTTGGATGTCCTAATTTTGAAGGTGGTTTAATTGTTGCTGCACAAAAAGGATGTGGAGCTAAGATGTTTAGTGTGAATGATATTAAGAATGGAAAAGATATTCATGTCTCAACAACTCCAAAAACATCTGATATGTGTTTCTGTGAATCTGTTGAAGTGTCTCATACTGACCAATCTCGTTCTAAAACTATTACTGAGAGATTACAAGTTACTAAACCACCAGTACGTATGGATTCTCAATGTAAGTATATGGCAATTGCATCTGGTAGAGCTGATGTTTATTTAAGACTTCCACGTAATCTTTCTTATCAAGAAAAGATTTGGGATCACGCTGCAGGTTATTTAATTGTTAAAGAAGCTGGAGGAAAAGTTACTGATATTTATGGTAATGATCTTGACTTTTCACTTGGAAGAACTCTTTGTAACAATCATGGTATTGTCGCTTCTAATGGAATTCTTCATGAAGAGACTGTTAACGTCGTAAAAGATGTACTTTCTGATTTAAAATAATATGAAATCAATCGTTTTTTCTTAACTTTTAAAAGTTTAAAGTGTGAAAATGATATTGAGGGTTATAAAAAATTCAATTAAAAATAAAAGAAAAAAATCTTAAAATATAAAGTGATGAGTATCCAATCTAAATTAAAGTTTAAAGATGGAATGTTCAATACAACTAAACGAGAAGAATTACATAAACAAATAGAAACAGAAATTGGAAATGAGAGATACTCCTTTCTAATTAATATCAAAGATAAAAATCAGAAAAGTATTGGAGAACAAGGATATGATCCATCTACATTATTTATTCCTGCAAGTTGTTTGATGAAAATGACACCATTTGAAAAACAGTATTGGAACATAAAGAAAGATAATTATGATGTTGTAATTTTCTTTGCTAAAGGAAAGTTTTATGAATTATATGAAAATGATGCTGATATCGGTAACAAAGAATTAGGACTTAAAATTACTAACAGAGTTAATATGAGAATGGCTGGTGTACCAAAAGCATCATTCAATACATATGCATCAAAATTACTGGAATTAGGATATAAAATAGGTTGTGTAGATGAAAAAGAAACTTCAGAAGAATCAAAGAAAAGAGGAGCAACTGTAATTGTCAATGGCAAAAGAGAACCAAACATTGTTCGTAGAGAGTTGACAAGAATATATACTGTTTCTACTGCAACAGAACCAGAGTTATGTTCTGATACTAGTGATATGTTTTGTATGGCTATTATATCAAATGGATGTAATGTTGGAGTGTGTTATGGTGACGTTTCTGTAGGTAGAATATTCTTAGGATACTTAGAAGATACAGAATTACATAATAGTCTTCATACTTTATTACATAGAGTACATCCAAAAGAAATATTATTATTAAATAGTATTTCAGATGACATTGCTCATATCTGTAAAAATCTTAAATTTGCAGAAATAACATATGTAAAAGAGCCTGAAGATATCAATGGAGTATTGCCATTATTTGCTGACAGAGGAAGAGTACCTAAAGTTGTTGAGAAATATAGTACTAATGATCAAGTAATGACTGCTTTTACTGTTCTTTATAATTATTTTACTACTTTATTAGTCCCAAAGACAACAATAATTAATGGAACTTTTGGAGAATATACAACACTGTCTCAAGACTATCTTATTGTTGATGCACAGAGTATTGTTAATTTAGCTTTATTTGCTAGTAAAGGAAAAGAAGTAGAAGGTACACTTCTTCATTTTGTAGACAATTGTTTTACAGCATTTGGTAAACGAATGTTACGAGAAAGATTTTTATTAAAACCATTAATGGATGTTAATAAGATTCTTCATCGACAAGAAGTAGTTGAATTCTTTTTAGAAAATAATGATTTGATTGATCAAATAGGAACATTTTTAAGAGTGATACCTGACCTAGAACGATTATTAAGTCAATGTACATCATCAACAATAACTGAGTCTAATTTTATTCGTATGATATCAGGATTTGAGACATGTCAAAAATTAATGAATGAATTAAAGACTATAGTAAAAGATATGCCAGAGGTACTTCAAACAATTGTTTTAGATAAAAACAATTTAGGATATCCTAACCTTGAAGAATTTATTTCTAAGTTAGAAAGTATATATGATTTTACAAGTGCAAAAGAAGAACATGCCATTACCTTCTTTAATGGATATAATGAAGAAATAGATCATGCTTTTGAAAGAAGAAATGAATTAGAAAATGAATTTGCTAAAGAATTAGTTTCAATTAAAAAAATCTTTGGAGAAGCAAAGTATGTAAATATTGGAGGTGATGATCATTTAATTGCATTACCAATTAAACAATATGAATCTTATCTAAAAAAACATGCTAAATTACCTAGTGGATATACTGAAGCCAATAAAATCAAAAGTGAAGCAAGACTCATGAGTTCTAAAGTTAGTAGTATCCAAACAGAGTATGATTTAAATGAAAAACAAATTAATGACTCTCATCATACTTTATTTAATCAATTAATCAATGAAGTGTCAAGTACTTTAGTATTGCCAAGAGCAATTACTAATATTGGATTGATTGACTGTTTTGTTTCAATGGCTCGCTGTTCTCAATCAATGGAAACATCATGTCTTCCTTCTTTCATTAAAAATGGAATGATTTATTCATATAGAAAAGATCCTGAACCAACATCCATTACAACTCCATACTTTAATGCAAAACAATTAAAACATCCATATTTAACTGTATCAACTAAAACAAGTGCTATCCCCTCTAATATTATTCTTGGTGGTACTGACCCTCAAACTATTATTTTAACTGGACCAAATATGGGAGGTAAATCTACACTATTAAGAACAGTCTGTCTTGCTGTTATTATGGCTCAAATGGGTATGAGATGTACTGGTGAAGAAATTACCATGTCAGTTGTTGATCATATCTTCACTCGTATTGGAGCTTCCGACGATATTTTACATGGAATGAGTACTTTTATGGTAGAGTTAGATGAAACAGCCCAAATGTTACATGATGCCACACAAAATTCGTTAGTTGTATTAGACGAACTAGGAAGAGGCACATCCACTCATGATGGGTTAGCTATTGCTCATGCAGTAGTTGAATATACAGTCTCAAAAATTAAGCCATTAATGATTGTTTCAACACATTACCATCAATTATGTGAAGAATTTGAAGAACGTGGAGATGTTAAATTAAGTCATATGGGATGTACAATTCAAAACAATCAAATAATTTTTTTGTACACATTATTAGATGGGGCATGTCCAAAATCTTATGGTATGAAAGTAGCTGAAATGGCAGGACTTCCAACTAAAATAGTTCATCGAGCAGAAAATATCGCAACATGGTTTGAATTATATTCATGGTGGAAAGACAATGAAGATGCCCAAACATTTACAAAGATAGTTTGTACAAACAAACGAATATTTGAACAATAAATTGATTGTTTTAAATTAATATCATATAAATTTACTTTTAAAAGAAAAAAATCATTTAACAAGAAGTTAATTCATTCCATTTTTTAGACAATGGTTGGAGCATTAGAAGAAATTTTTGGCCATAAATCAGCTGATTCTTTTGAAACTGGTCCAGTAATAGCTGAACCTTTCATTTCTCCTTTCATGTTAACAATAACAGCAGCATTATCTTCAAAGTATAAGGTAACACCGTCCTTTCTTCTCCAAGTTCTTCTTTGTCTGATAATAACAGCAGTATGCATCTTCTTTCTGTATTCTGGTTTACCCTTCTTACAAGTAGCAACGACCATATCACCACATCCAGCTCTTGGGAGTCTATTTAATCTTCCATGGAATCCCTTAACGGAAATGATTGTGAGAGTCTTAGCACCAGTGTTATCAGCACAATTAACGGTTGAAGCATTATTCAAACCACAAGTGACTCTGAATTTATTTCCTTGTCTTCCTCCAGCTCCTCTCTTTGGCATTGTAAGAACTATTGTTTTTTACGATAGGGTTGTAAAAAATTTTCTTTTTTCTTTTATAGCTTTTTTTACTAATTTGATGCTTCTTTTTATTTCTTTTAATATTTTTTATTATAATTATTATTATAATAAACTATATTTATAACTAAAAAGAAATATTGAAAAATATAACAAAAAACAATACGAAAATGTTTTAAAAATGATATTATACTGTTCATTAAACTTTCATGTCGCTTGGGATTTCCAGTTCTAATTGGTTAAGGGTAGTTTTAGTAAATAATCCATCATTTAAAACTAATACACACAAAGTGGAATGGTCCATTTTCCCATAAAGGGGTTGATTATTTGGTGTCTTAGATTTAGTTTTTGAAGCTTCAATTTTAAGAATACGTTGGTCTTGTGTTTTGTCAACAACATAGTCATAAACGTTTTGACATAATTGAACTAAAGATGGCTCAAGATACAACGTAATCAAATTTTGATATAATTCTTGTTTTCGTTTTTCTATTTGAATGGAATTATCATCTGACCATTCCTCACCTGGAAGACCACAATCTTTTGGATTATCATTAAACATCCGAATATCAAAATTATCACAAATGCCATCAGTCATAATTATGATAGAAGTTCCTGGTTGAACAAATTGTACTCCACATCGATAGTTATCTAACTCAGGATATTCTCCTTCAACAGGTCCTAATCTTCCTCCAGTTGTCTTTACATCAACACGTGTAGCATATCCTTCTACTAATTCTTCACACCTTTCATTTGTTCGATGAATTAACAACCCTCTGCAATCTCCAATATTAACATAACATACAGCAAAAGTAGTTGAATCAACTCGTAATACTACTACTCCTTGGAAAGTTGTTAATCCAGCATCCATAGGACTATCTTCTGTGAGTAATATATTTTCTTGAACATATGCCATAGCATCATTAATAATTCTGACAGCTTTGTCAACAGTCTTTTCTTTTGGTACTTCAAACGTTATATACTCACTAAACTTTTCACATGCAATACGAGCTGATTTTGCTGGTCTAGAACCCATACCACAGCCATCTGCAATAGACATAATAGCCATATTTTTATATACATCTATCATAGTACAGTCAGCAATTGGTTTACCAAATTTAGCACCATTCATTACTGGATAAGTACTGAAACATACATTAGCATAATATTTACTATAATGAATAAAATATTCTTCAGGTGTTTTTTCTTCAGACGGAGAAATATTATGAAAAAGTAAATTGCTTGTGTCTGGTGTAATAAACTTCTCTTCATAACTTTCCTCTTTTTGTTTTTCAAAAGCAGTTTTAAAAAGTTTAGAGAGAGTTTTATCTACATGGAAAACCATTTTAAATAAAGAAATTTAAAGATTATTCTAATATTATTTTCTATTTTTTTTTTTCTTTTCTGTTAAATCAAACTTTTACAGTTCATTTTTAACAATAAATTTATTTTCATTCTATTCATATAGTTTATGTGACAATTATTTTGGAAGATTAAATTATAATTCTATAGGATTGTCTTGAATTGTATAACCATTAGATGAGACAGAATATTCTTCTTCTT